GTGCCACAGGTTTCCGGGACATTTCACCAAAGTCATCCCACTGTTGAGACACTGGACATAATGGGTGCACGACCCACAGTACGGGTAACGCTCGTTGCTGACGGCAACGTTGTTGCAGCTGGAGAGGCAGACGTTAGAGGCTGGAAATACAAACCAAACATAGACATAGAAGCAAAACTGCTGAAGGTTAGGACAATCCTGCCCCTAACAAACACAATCCTATCCAACACAAACACAATCCTTCCCAACACAAACACAATCCACAAGCGGAAGGTCCGGGGTTAGATCACCGGCCGCGTCGTACCAAAAGACGTTAAAAGATGATACTTGTTGTTACCCTGTCTGGCGCTCGGCATTAAGGGGCTAAAACAAGGACTGGTCGGCTCGGAGTCAGTATACTGTGTCTGAGTGGGGTATTCATGTTAAACTCTGGCATGGTATCTCAGTGAGCTAGCACTATAAATCAGTCAGGACTAGTACAAGCAGCCACACACACACACACACGTGCATGCACGTCGCTATATAAGTGCAATAATCTTGGACGCGACGTTAAACCCCATTTCACCTCACCTCATCATACTGCGCGTCCAATGATATTATCTACATGGATCGGAAGGAGGTCTGAGAGGGATGCTGGGTTGATATGATCAATTGCTACTTCAAGATGATGTACGGAGATGCCTAGTGGTTAAAGCGTTCGCTCGTCAAGTCGGAGGGCGGGTTCGATTCCTCACATGGGTACAATGTGTTGGGCCTATTTTTGGTGTCTACCGCCGTGATATTGCTAAAAACATACTCACTGACTCACTGTTCCGTTAATTCAACCAGGTCAGAGAAATTATATGATACCGTTATTCGTTATGTCATACAGGTACCAAGCCCAAAGTATGTTTTTAAATTTATTAAATATGTCGTAATATTAAATTAAACTAAGTTTCATTTACCGTTTTATTTCACGCAGTGTCGGCGTTTGGACACACTTATTAATTGGGTTAGAGTAGTTTGAAAAGTCGAAATAACGAAATAACAAACGAAAAAGGATTACAATTGACCCCAAGCCTACCAAGACATGGAAGTGATTTAATCATATGTTGTACTTACGATTGGTCGTAAGAGAAGTCGTTGTTGGTGACGTAGTACGTGATGTTGTAGTCGCTGACGTCGTTGCAGAAGTTGTTGCTGACGTCGTTGGTGACGTAAGTCTGAAACATCAACTTTTCCATAAAACCCTTCTTAAAACAATATCCCGGGAGCCACAAAACTCTCAACAGCCAAACCTCGTTATTCCAAAGCCCCCTTTACCCGGAAACCCTTCATTCCGCACCGAGAGAGATTTTAATTTTTGTGCACAACAAAACACATGACATAATAAGGGTTCAAAATAAAAGCTTGTATATCCAGCCTTAACAGGACCATGAATCACATTAAATATATTTGTATTCATTGTGAATTAATAATAAAAATGTATGTTTAAATTTTTTTTAATAAAATAAATTTTAAAAAAACCCACGTACACATGCATGCACTTTGGCTCCTAACCTACGTACACATGCAGGAATTTTACCTCCAAACCCACGTACACATGCATGCACTTTGGCTCCAAACCCACGTACACAGGCAGGCACTTTGGTTCCAAACCTACGTACACATGCATGCACTTTGGCTCCAAACCTACGTACACATGCATGCACTTTGGCTCCAAACCCACGTACACATGCATGTACTTTGGCTCCAAACCCACGCATCCATGCATGCACTTTGGCTCCAAACCCACGTACACATGCATGCACTTTGGCTCCAAACCTACGTACACATGCAGGAATTTTACCTCCAAACCCACGTACACATGCATGCACTTTGGCTCCAAACCCACGTACACAGGCAGGCACTTTGGTTCCAAACCCACGTACACATGCATGTACTTTGGCTCCAAACCTACGTACACATGCATGCACTTTGGCTCCAAACCCACGTACACATGCATGTACTTTGGCTCCAAACCCACGCATCCATGCATGCACTTTGGCTCCAAACCCACGTACACATGCATGCACTTTGGCTCCAAACCCACGTACACATGCATGCACTTTGGCTCCAAACCCACGTACACATGCATGTACTTTGGCTCCAAACCCACGCATCCATGCATGCACTTTGGCTCCAAACCCACGTACACATGCATGCACTTTGGCTCCAAACCCACGCACACATGCATGCACTTTGGCTCCAAACCCACGTACACATGCATGCACTTTGGTTCCAAACCCACGTACACATGCATGCACTTTGGTTCCAAACCCACGTACACATGCATGCACTTTGGCTCCAAACCCACGTACACATGCATGCACTTTGGCTCCAAACCCACGTACACATGCATGCACTTTGGTTCCAAACCCACGTACACATGCATGCACTTTGGCTCCAAACCCACGCACACATGCATGCACTTTGGCTCCAAACCCACGTACCCATGCATGCACTCTGGTTCCAAACCCACGTACACATGCATGCACTTTGGCTCCAAACCCACGTACACATGCATGCACTTTGGTTCCAAACCCACGTACACATGCATGCACTTTGGTTCCAATCCCACCTACACATGCATGCACTTTGGCTCCAAACCCACGTACACATGCATTCGCTTTGGCTCCAAACCTACGTACACATGCATGCACTTTGGCTCAAAACCCACGTACACATGCAGGCACTTTGGCTCAAAACCAACGCACACATGCAGGCACTTTGGCTCAAAACCCACGTACACTTGCAGGCACTTTGGCTCCAAACCAACGCACACATGCAGGCACTTTGGCTCAAAACCCACGTACACATGCAGACACTTTGGCTCCAAACCCACGCACATATGCATGCACTTTGGCTCATAACTCATGCACACATGCATTTTCTTTGGATCCAAACCCCCTGCACACATGCATGCACTTTGGCTCCAAACCCACGCATCAAACCCACGCATCCATGCATGCACTTTGGCTCCAAACCTACGCACACATGCATGCACTTTGGCTCCAAACCTACGTACACATGCATGCACTTTGGCTCCAAACCCACGCGTCAAACCCACGCATCCATGCATGCACTTTGGCTCCAAACCCACGCACATATGCATGCACTTTGGCTCCAAACCCACGCACACATGCACGCAGTCTTACGAATTCATGTAACTTACGTGCAACCGGCATTCGCGGGAAAGTCACATTCGTCGTTGGCGTCGTTGTGGTGGAGTGAGGAGGGACAGGCGGTGATGGTTATCCCCCCAGGCAGACACTGTACATATAGGTTGCAGTTGGTGCAATGCGGGTACCTCTCACTGGAGGCTGGGATCCCCACACACGATGACACGCATGTCCCCTCTGTAAATACATAGAGTGAGTGAGTGAGTTTGGTTTAACGCCGCTTTTAACAGTATTCCAGTTTTATCACGGCGTGTCAGCTTAATGTGGGAGGAAAGCCCGAAGTGATGCAGGTCTCAGACGTTTACCACTTCGGTGAAACCCACGAGCACGGGTATGGTGCTGACAAACCTAGAAACATGATCTTTGCGAACAGGGATTCGAACCCACAATCATAGGCGCCTGGTGCGTCCAAGGGACGAAACTCTGCATAGCGAATTGGCGCCTTACACGACTGGGCCACCCGTGCCTCTTACAAGTGAACGGAATTAGCCCTGCCGTTATTATGGTACAGTAAACTACGGTTATAACGAACACGCTTATAACGAACTGACGGATATAACGAACTACTTTTTTGGTCCCGATAATTAGCTGTATTATGCTGTATATATGCTTATAACAAACTACGGTTATAACGAACTAAAATTAGTAGTCCCTTTGAGTTCGTTATAACCGTACTTTACTGTATTATGGTGGAGGTCCTATCGAACGGAGACGAGAGGAGGTTTCCATTGTAATTAAACGTGGACATCTTTACTTCGTAAAGCAAGTTGGGAATCTATTAATGAGCTGGCAAACCATTTTCCGGCCTTTAACCAGTGGTGGCCACATAGACATTCGTCCCAGCGTTATCATCAGGGGCGGAGGCACGATCCTCAATATATGCTGGTAGTATGATTTAACGCCTGATTATTTAACTTTTTTTTACCTGCCGGAGTCGTTAGCGATGTCGTTGTCTGTGAGGTCGTTGCTGAAGTTGTTGCAGATGTAGTGGCAGATGTAGTTGCAGATGTAGTGGCAGATGTAGTCGCAGATGTAGTGGCTGATGTAGTTGCGGATGTAGTCGCTGACGTTGTTCTTCAAGGAAAATTAGTAAGATTGTTAGATGCCTGATTGACGGATGTGATTGACAGACGAATGACTGCGAACATTGATTGTTAGATACCTGATTGACGACTGTGATTGACAGACGACTGACTGCAAACATTGATTGTTAGATACCTGATTGACGACTGTGATTGACAGACGACTGACTGCAAACATTGATTGTTAGATACCTGATTGACGACTGTGATTGACAGACGACTGACTGCAAACATTGATTGTTAGATACCTGATTGACGACTGTGATTGACAGACGACTGACTGCAAACATCGATTGTTAGATGCCTGATTGACGACTGTTATTGACAGACGACTGACTGCAAACATTGATTGTTAGATACCTGATTGACGACTGTGATTGACAGACGACTGACTGCAAACATTGATTGTTAGATCCCTGATTGACGACTGTGATTGACAGACGACTGACTGCAAACATTGATTGTTAGATACCTGATTGTCGACTGTGATTGACAGACGACTGACTGCAAACATTGATTGTTAGATACCTGATTGACGACTGTGATTGACAGACGACTGACTGCAAACATTGATTGTTAGATACCTGATTGACGACTGTGATTGACAGACGACTGACTGCAAACATTGATTGTTAGATGCCTGATTGACAACTGTGATTGACAGACGACTGACTGCAAACATTGATTGTTAGATGCCTGATTGACAACTGTGATTGACAGACGACAGACTGCAAACATTGATGCTAGACACCTGATTGACGACTGTGATTGACAGACGACTGACTGCAAACATTGATTGTTAGATGCCTGATTGACAACTGTGATTGACAGACGACAGACTGCATACAGTGATGCTAGACACCTGATTGACGACTGTGATTGACCGACTGCCTAAATACAACCATAGCTGAACATATGATTGACGATTATGATTGACTGAATACAGTGATCAACTCACACCCGATTGAGGACATCACGAAGGCCGAGAGCAATGTATGAGTTATATCTATGTTTAATAATTTGGATTCGTTTTTACCATTTCAAGATCAAAAGAAAGTATCCATTGTTTACATTGGTTGTGAATAGGGATAAATACGTTGGCTGAATGAAACCGAATTCATGTGAAAGCGATTGCACAAACACACCCGAAATACTTTTGGAAGTAGAAAACGGTTTGTCGTGAATTTGTATGAAACCATTGTTGAATGACAGTACGAAAGAAAGAGTACATGGGGTTTCACAGCGGACAGATTCGAAACTATCACAGGTCATAACAGCAAGCAAAATGCCAAGGTCACCAGCAGAACAGAGAGAGTGGTGTCTTTGAATGGTGTTGACGAGGTCAATGTTGTATCGAGTTCAGCGACTGACCATTGCCAGACTTCGTCAGCGATTCCACCAGACTTCGCAAACAAGGGACATTCCACAAAGTGGCTGACCACGTGAGACCACCACACATGAGGCCGTCATTTGCGCACGTTGCATCTGCGCGACCGCTTCCTCGCGGTGACGTCATCGACATTTGCCCCCGCATCAGCGGATACACAGTATCAAAGCGATGACGTCATGCATTCAAGAGATTCATCCTTGTGGGAGTCTGGTGCAGTGGTATTGCGAGGGATTTGTGATGAAAGGATCACACGTCCTGTTATCATAGGTGGATATTGGAACGCCACCGTTACAGCGACGTTAGTGATAGTGTTCCAGTGTCGGCGTGACGAGTGAGCGAGCGAACTCTTAAACCACTATGATACCCCCCCCCCCCCTTCACTCACACAATTCTTACCCGCAAACTGCATTTGCAACAGTATCACAGTTATTTTCAGCAGAGTTGAAATTCAGCGTTGCTGGACACTTCCTGCGTGATAAGCCAGCTGGTTCACATCTGATGTAGTAGGTGCAGTCGTCGCAGTCGGGGTAGCGGACGCCGTTAGTCGTTGATTTGCCGGCGCAACTTGTAATGCACTCTGAAAACAAAATGAGGTGAGGTGAAATGGGGTTTAACGTCACGTCCAAGATTATTGCACTTATATAGCGTCGTGCATGTACGTGTGTGTTTGTGTGGCTGCTTGTACTAGTCCGGACTGATGCCGATTTATAGTGCTAGCTCACTTGGATACCATGCCGCAGTTTAACATGAATACCCAACTCAGACACAGTATACTGACTCTGAGCCGGCCAGTCCTTGTTTTAGCCCCTTAATGCCGAGCGCTCGACAGGGTAACAACAAGTACCATCTTGTAACATCTTTTGGTATGACGCGGCCGGGGATCGAACCGCGGATCTTCCGCTCTCCGGGCGGACGCTCTACCACTAGACCACGGAGGCGGTCTACAGAAATGACCGAACAAAGTTATCGTGAGATAGGACTTTAGTGCACTCACGCCAATGTGTGTTTGTCCTGCTGTATACCTCACCAACTTTATTCCAACTGTATCATGGCGGCCGTTAATAATAGGGTCTGAATAAGTGTCCGTCCATCATAATAAACAGTAAACTACGGTTATAACGAACACGGTTATAACGACCTGACGGATATAACGAACTGAATATACTTAGTCCCGTCCATTTGTTGTATACACGCTATATATATATGCTTAAAACAAACTACGGTTATATCGAACTAAAATAAGTGGTCCCTTCGGCATAACCGTAGTTTACTGTAGATAAAACGTCAGCGTCAGAGAAGAACCTCTCTGCCGAAACACACTCCATTGTTTGCCATAGCGGTGACAATTGTATGAATGGATCATCGGAAATCAGTGATGACACCAGGTGTTCGCCAAAGACAAGCGTTCATCAGGCGTTCATTTAGTTTATTCCAACATAATCTCAATAGTTAGGCCGATAACGTGAAGAGTGGGGCTTCGGATTTCCAGAATTAATTACTAGCTCGCATTGATAATTGATAAGGATAGATATATCCGCACAGTATACTGACTCCGAGCCGACCAGTATTTGTTTTCGCCCCTTAATGCCGAGCGCCAGACAGGGTAACAACAAGTACCATCTTTTACGTCTGTTGGTATGGTGCGGCCGGGGATCGAACCCCGGACCTTCAGCTCTCCGGGCGGAGGCTCTACTATTAGACCACGGAGGCGGTCTCATTATCATAAAGACGTGGTATATCCAGGACTACCGCCTTCTGCCTCCCACACACAACATCCTTCACACGGACTACTTCCTCAACACGCTCTACGTCTTCACGTCATCGCCTACGCTATTCATGTCATCAACAATAACGTGACGCTATAGACAGCATAACAACCACGATCCACGATTACAGGTATCAAACATGTCTCTACTGTGCAGCCATCATGAACCAACTTCGAGTGTTAATACAACTGTTACACGTACCTGCATCAATCAATGTGGGCGATAACACCAGCAGAGCGAGGAGATGCGTGATAGTCATTCTTGTCGTTTCTGAAACACAAACATAGCCAACATATTATCAGCGTCATTGTTCAAGGATCACTGGGGCGTCGGGGTAGCCTAGTGGTTAAAGTGTTCGCTCGTAACGGGTTCGATTCCCCACATGGGTACAATGTGTGGACCCCATTGGCCGGTGCCCCCCCCGCCGTGATTTTGCTTTTAGTTAAACCTCACTCACTCACTCACTCACTCACTCACTCACTCACTCACTCACTCACACTCACTCACTCACTGGGGGCACGGGTGGCCCAGTCGTCTAAGGCGCCGCACTTCGCTGTGCAGAGTTGCGTCTCTTGGGCACGCCAGAAACCTATGATTCTGGGTTCGAATCCCGGTTCGCCCCGATTATGTTTCTAGGTTTGTCAGCACCATACCCGTGCTCGTGGGTTTCACCGAAGCGGTAAAGGTCTTAGACCTGCATCACTTCGGGCTTTCCTCCCACATTAAGCTGACATGCCGTGATATAACTGAAATAATGTTAAAAGCGGCGTTAAACCCAACTCACTCACTCACTCACTCACTCACTCAAGGATCACCTTGGGATCTGGCATCACTAGATCTGAGTATGTTGGCAATGTGATTATCAATGTATGCGGTCGTTTCCGCCTATGTCACACAGAGTGGATGGTTTCCGCCTATGTCACACAGAGTGGATGGTTTCCGCCTATGTCACACAGAGTGGATGGTTTCCGCCTATGTCACACAGAGCGGATGGTTTCCGCCTATGTCACACAGAGTGGATGGTTTCCCCCTATGTCACACAGAGTGGATGGTTTCCGCCTATGTTACACAGAGTGGATGGTTTCCCCCTATGTCACACAGAGTGGCTGGTTTCCGCCTATGTCACACAGAGCGGATGGTTTCCGCCTATGTCACACAGAGTGGATGGTTTCCGCCTATGTCACACAGAGTGGATGGTTTCCGCCTATGTCACACAGAGCGGATGGTTTCCGCCTATGTCACACAGAGCGGATGGTTTCCGCCTATGTCACACAGAGCGGATGGTTTCCGCATATGTCACACAGAGTGGATGGTTTCCGCCTATGTCACACAGAGTGGATGGTTTCCGCCTATGTCACACAGAGTGGCTGGTTTCCGCCTATGTCACACAGAGTGGATGGTTTCCGCCTATGTCACACAGAGTGGCTGGTTTCCGCCTATGTCACACAGAGTGGATGGTTTCCGCCTATGTCACACAGAGTGGATGTATTTTTTTATGAAACAGGAGAAATGGGCAACGACTTTTAAAAACATTGAAAAGCGCAAGACTGAAGGTGGTGGAAAAAATACCCTAAACTCTTGTCCGGACGCAACCTGTAGTTTACCCCCTACACATGCGATCCACTGAACTGCACTCTTGGAAGTTGAAAATGAGACATTTTATCTCTTATTATATGTGGGTGCGGTGTGGTAGCCTAGTGGTTAAAAGCGTTCGCTCGTCACGCTGAAGACCCGGGTTCGATTCCCCACTTGTGCGAAGCCAATGTCTGGTGTCCCCCCCGCCATGATATTGCTGGAAATTGTTAGAAGTGACGTAAAACTATACTCACTCACCTATTATCGGTGTGACTCGTTTAATAATGAAGCTGAGTATAAATAATACACCGATGCACTAATATTCAAGGCACGCCCACTAGGACAACCTCGGACAAACTCCAGCGCCTTTACCATTGAAGGTAACTTAAATATGTTCATTATTTACGCTTCCGCTACCAAACGATTCTGAAAATATGTTCATCACGTCTGTAAAAGATGTTGACGTGGTTTGAGGCTGTGTAAATGTGCATCGTTTGTCAGTGGATGTTGTTGCCAGGCAACATACCAACATCCTTAGAGCATTGAGAGACTATTGAAATAAAACCGTCCTCATGCAATCTTTGTAAACGAGTTTCACTACAAAACTAATGAGCAAATATACTGTTGACATTTCTGATATTGTAAAGTTTGTGTTTCTATTGATAAATACATTCAATTAATTCTAAAATATCAGTCATTCCATTTTGTTTATTTCAACAATACATATTTTATTTTTAAAGTTGGACATTAAATATTTATTCAAAGAAAATATCAGTACATCAGTATTGTACTCTTAATGTTGTATTTGATTAACTCAAATACAATTTCAGTTCTCCCATTGGTTTTACGCCGCTTTTAGCATTATTCCAGCAATATCGCGGCGGGGGACACCAGAAATGGGCTTCACACATTGTACCCATGTCGGGATTCGAACCCGGGTCTTCAGCGTGACAACGAACGCTTCAACGCTACCCGATCGCCCCCTCTCGCATTGATGGGAAAACAGTATAACCTACACCCTGGTGAACAGGTATATCAGCAACATTTTAGACGTTAAAATATTTCTACCAGTAATTATCAACTTCGTATCATAATGCTACTCACAGTTTGCTGAGGATCAAGTTTTATTTCAAAAAAATATCCAAGAAATAAATATCCCGGTAAGCAATGATTGGGTAACTCTTTCATTACCTCATATTCGAGAACGGACAGGCGTGTAGCAAGGGGAACAATGTGCAGGGTTTTTTTGAAAACCTGTGTGTGGGTGTATCGTGATAGAATCGTTGGACATCATTATCAGAGAGTACAACAACATTTGTCTACTGAGGATTGAAACAACCGAATGCACTTGTGACCAATCAGCGTCAGAGGCGTCGTTTGACGACCGTAGTTGCTGGGTCAACACAATGTCACGTTCCATATGTCGTCTTTGTCAACCACACAGAAGGAAGATAGGCCTCTGTTAATAGCACCATGACGTCATCAATTTGTTGCGTTTGCAACCACTACACATATTTCAGATTTTGTCGCTTTACCACATCAAAAGCCTTTTTGAAATCAATAAATGTAAAATAAAACTTACATTTCCTTTCGAGTGGTATGTCGCTATGAAATATTAATAAAATATTCTCAATATTTTGTGTCCCCGGCTTCATATTTCCTAGTTTCTACAATTTTCGTTAATCTATCGTAGGAATAGTACAAAAGCGCTTTCTCATAATACTAATACTTAGAAGCGACAAGCCTCTGCTATGTCCAGGGTCACTGTTACATAGGTGAGGTGAAATGGGGTTCAACGACGCGTCAAAGATTATTGCACTTATATAGCGCGTGTGTGTTTGTGTCGCTGCTTGTACTAGTCCGGTTTATAGTGCTAGCTCACTGAGATACCATGCTGCAGTTAAATATGAATACCCCATTCAGACACAGTATACTGACTCCGAGCCGACCAGTCCTTGTTTTAGCCCCTTAATGCCGAGCGCCAGACAGGGTAACAACAAGAACCATCTTTTAAAGTCTTTTGGTATGACGCGGCCGGGGATCGAACCACAGACCTTCCGCTCTCCGGGCGGACGCTCTACCACTAGACCACGGAGGCGGTCCCAAGTAACACCAGTACGCCATGACTTTAGATTACAGCCAGCAGCTTATATTTAGATAACCAATAATAAAAAATTGGAACCATAATGTTTTTTCACACTTTAACAGAGCTCCAGATAACTTGTTGAGCAATTGAGTTTTTACCCTAGGGTTCCTATTTTAATATTATTATTACATTTTTCTTTGGGTAACCAATATTTTTTCACTCATCTTTTCATTACTCTGTTGGGTTTTTCCCAAAATTAGTGAACATTTTAAGGTTTAAAAAAATGAAATATTGTTTTAGATGTATATGTTCTAAACATATAGGCTTGACTCGGAAATTAGCTCCTTTGCATGCTGAAAAAAGGTTCATTGGGTATTTACGCGTGCTGTTTTATACATTGATTTTTCATTTAATGCTTGCGTTTCTGTACACAAGTTATTCGAAAGTGACTGGGTTTTTAATATATTGGGGGATATTTTCCGCAAATACTCTGCTTATCTGTAGCTCGTGACTTTAATTAAGTTTATTTTACCGGTTTTTCAAGCGTCCGCGTGTGTGAATACACTTGACAAAATATCATCTTCTGTGTAAAGCAAATAGAGCCATCTCATGATCATCAACCACATCCCGAAACAATCACACATCCTTATTTTCACGTGGGTTTAATATCAATTTACAATACTACCCCATGACTTGGTGCATACATCATTAGTTTTTTTTATAATTTTTCATAAGTTATATTTTCACAACATTAAAAAGTGTCTGTATAATTATCAGCCTTGGATAACTCAATATATCTCAGATACTTTACCCCAGAAGAGAAAACTGGTTTTGATTTTCCCCTTTTTGATGACGTGCAGTCTAATGTCCGATCATTCAGATGTTCACTTTACTAGCTATTCTTTTAGTGTGTGTGTGTGCGTGCGCGCGTGCGTGCGTGCACGTGTGTGTGTGTGTGTGTGTGTTCCTTAACGCCGTACTCAATCTGAATGACGTCAATCTGTAATTAGTCAGACAATCCAGTGATTCATACAAAGAACACAGTCCACGCCGACTGGTTACCTACGACTGACTTGGTTAATGCAATTAATATCCCAATTGCGTGGATCTATATTCATGATGTCAATCACTGGATTGTCAGGTCCAGACTCGATTATTTACAGACCGCTGTCACATAGTTGGTATATTGCTGAGTGCGGCGTTAAACAACAAAGAAACAGACTAACATTAAATCTCAGAAAACATGCTTATGATTACCTTATTGTCACCGTAAGGAATGGATCAACTGTCGGAGACACAAGCTTCGATACCAACGACTTCAACCGTGTATTCCAACAACTGCAACCGTTTCGTAATGGCAATCACCAGATCACTGCAGCCGAGCGTCGTAATCTGCAGAATGACATTAACTATAAGACGGCTTGCTTTTATGCCAAGTGAATATATTCTGATGCTTATCGAAAATGTATCGGGTTGCCTACAGTCACAATTCAACATGATTCTACATTCTTGCTATCTGGGGCTAAATCGGGGAACAAGCGTCTAACCATTACAGTCACTCCTCGTTTGGCTTGAGGTGCTGGTTAGACGTGGGAACGTTTTCTTTATGAATATTGTTAAGACTGTTCAACTATACGGATATGTTCATTTGAGTCAGGCGAAGGTTGTGAAACAAAACTGATTCGTTACTTTTATGTTTAAAGCTCTTGATAAATTAGTAAAGAAAGGTTTAATTTTAGTTTTTTTAAATTCTGGGGATTTGGGTTTTAATTGCAAAAATAACGTTCTCGGTGTTACACGCTATATGGTCTGAACAATAATGCATTGTAGGTACAAAAGAAGCGGTATTTCGTCTACTTCAAAACCCAATTACTTTTAATTAACTTGACTTAACTTACTTAACTTAACAGAATAGCATGCATGAAATGAAAATCTCAAATGTATAAAAACAGCTCGCGTAAACACCCAATGAAGCTTTTTCAGCATGGGTACAAAGGAACGAATTTCCGAAAGACAATTACGAGCTAATTTACTTTCCGATTCAAGCCTATTTACTTAGAACACTTATATACATCTGGTACATTATTTATTTATTTATTTTTTAAAATCTTAGAATGTTTACTAATTTGGGGCAAAACCAAATGGAGTGATGGATAGATGAGTGAAAACAAATTGGTTACCCTATGAAAAAACTGGTAATATCCCAATTAAAATAGAAACCATACAGTAAAAACTTAATAGCTCAAAAGTTATCTGGAGCTCTGCTAAAAGTGTATGAATTGAGGCGCTGACTGAAGAACTGCTCTGTCTCAAACTAGCCCTATTTTCATTTTTCAATTTATTTGTCATTAGTTTGTATTTAAGAAACAAAGTTTGGTCTTCCCCTATGTGTAATAAATTATAGTTTTGCTCGTGAAGAGATCACCATTTTAATAAACATACAGTTATTGTGTAATACCAAAACGCCATTCGTGACCAACTCGTGTTATTCCGGGACAAGCCGAATAGCGACTCGTGCCCCTCTCATGGCCATTCTTACGACCGGGTTCCGTCTTAGCGCAAACGGGCATACCTGAAACAATTGTCATTACTCGTTGCGTAATGGTTCGCATATATTTCCACATATATTACATATATTTCAGATGCAATTTAAAGCACATCTGGACATCCGGAATTATACAGTATGATTGAACACATTTAACTGTGTCTTGGGTATATTTTTAGATGAAAGACATATGTAAAATCAAAAGTTATTTCTGAGGGATTCCGACGAAGAACTTGAAATCATACGCGCATTCTGATTGGACGAGTCTTCTTGCAGGTTACGGAAATGGGCGAGTGGTGACGAATGACCAAAACGCGTGCTTATGTACTCTCGGAACACGTTTCACGAACAAATATTGAAAGCTCTCGACATCCCATGGCTTATTCAGCGACATTGCGGGTGGAGATGATAGGTCACTGAGAGGAGCTTATGCACACTCGATGACCCCAGCAAACCTTGTTGCAAGGCTGACGTCACATGGCATTGTTTCGCCGATGGATCTTGCAACAAAATTCCACAAATTACGTCATCGGGTATTGTGACGTGTTTGTAAACTTTGAGGTGCAAGGCCCCGTTCCACAAGGCGATCGTACTGTAGCGCAACGACAGTCGTTAGTCAAAGTTAAAGTATAGATAAAGTGTGGATAACCTTAGCGCTACGATAGTTTTGTGGAACGGACGCCTGAATTCTGAAGGTAGACCGTTGTATGGTATTAAATTCATACGTTTCAACTTTTGACGTGTTTGAAGTATTATAATGTTGAACTCAATGGAATTATGCCGTGGGTCGTGTACGTGTCAGCCTATTCACACTCAACAGCATAATTCTAAAAAACGTTATGAATGGCAAGTAACAAATAAAGTACTAAACTCGCTCCCATATTAAATAAATTTTGTGAAACTCGTGAATAGTGGTGGTATCTGACTCGCTTTCGCTCGTCAGTTACCACCACTATTCACTTGTTTCATAAAATTGGTATTACGTGGGAGCGAGTTTAGTATTCTATATTTAGGCATTAGGACGCATGAGTGCGTTGGCGTATAATAATTCAGGGCAAAACTATAATAATAGAATAATGTCAAGTTCACTGGGGCTAATTTCTTCCACCTTTCTTGTGTCATTTAAACTTTCCTGTTTACATTTGTGCACTAAATTCATATCAAGTTTAGTCTTTTTCATAGTGTTTTCGTTTTCATTGGCAGTTAAGAATTTTTCGATGTCATCATCGTTCACAAAGGCAAACCTGTCTGCATTCAGTCCGGTGTTTGGATTCGGGGGATAAGTCGTCAAACAGCAAGTCCTCTAGCACAGACGCCGGCAACCCGGATTTGGTGGTGTTGACTTTTGCGCACTAGAAACAGTCTCTGGCAAAACTCGCAATCTGAATCTTGGAACTTCCATCTGGCCACATACAGTTTTGTGACATTAAAAGTGTTCAGAGGATGAATTATACGAGTAACTCTTCCTGTCAGATCTCCGTCAACTTTAACGAGGTCATTTACTTTGACAGGTGTCAAATGGTCAGCCAAGTTTGTTCACAAACAACGCAACGTAGTTTTGTTTTTTTGTAATTACGCTTATTGTAAACTAAAACTCGTGCGAAATAAATGCTTTATTCATTATAATGTGAAATCATGTTGTTGATATGAAACTATGTTCTAGTCTTATAAATCTCGAATAAGTGAGATTGTAGCACGTGAAACATGGGAATGAATGCCCTGAATTTGTGAATGAACTCAATAAGAGAAAAATGGTCCCGTCGACCAATGAAAATCGACAATCAGCTTCGAGAATCACTAATTGCACACTGTGCAAATATCAAAATGTTATTACACTGCATATTTGAGCCCATATTGGTAATAATATACTATACTACCCTACAAACGGAGGTAGAGCAAACTTTGGTACTTTTAGTAAATGCCGAATTTAATACTAATCTTGTGTATTATTGGAGATGGGTTCTAAATGAATATGGTTTACAGATAATACAACAGTACTACAATGGGTAGATTGTTTTTGAATAAGTCACAATTTACTATTTGTTAAGTATGTGATTATACAACCAATTTACATTTAAGTTTTTATGTAAATATGGTTCAGTTTAATGTCTTGATTCTAAGAATTCCCAAATTGCACAGTTGCCGGAGTTCTGTACATGTCGAGGTGTTGTCACATGGTCGGAGTTCTGTACATGTCGAGGTGTTGCTACATGGCGGGAGTCCTGTATATGTCGAGGTGTTGTCACATGGCCGGAGTTCTGTACATGTCGGAGTTCTGTACATGTCGAGGTGTTGTCACATGGCCGGAGTTCTGTACATGTCGGAGTTCTGTACATGTCGAGGTGTTGTCACATGGTAGGAGTTTTGTACATGTCGAGGTGTTGCCACATGGCCGGAGTTCTGTACATGTCGGAGTTCTGTACATGTCGAGGTGTTGTCACATGGTCGGAGTTCTGTACATGTCGGAGTTCTGTACATGTCGAGGTGTTGCCACATGGCCGGAGTTCTGTACATGTCGGAGTTCTGTACATGTCGAGGTGTTGTCACATGGCCGGAGTTCTGTACATGTCGGAGTTCTGTACATGTCGAGGTGGTGTCACATGGCCGGAGTTATGTATATGTCGAGGTGTTGTCACATGGCCGGAGTTATGTATATGTCGAGGTGTTGCTACATGGCCGGAGTTCTGTACATGTCGAGGTGTTGCCACATAGCCGGAGTTCTGTACATGTCGAGGTGTTGCCACATGGCCGGAGTTCTTTACATGTTGAGGTGTTGCCACATGGCCCGAGTTCTGACATGTTGAGGTGTTGCCACATAGCCGGAGTTCTGTACATGTCGAGGTGTTGTCACATGGTCGGAGTTCTGTACATGTCGAGGTGTTGTCACATGGTCGGAGTTCTGTACATGTCGAGGTGTTGTCACATGGTCGGAGTTCTGTACATGTCGAGGTGTTGCTACATGGCCGCAGTTCTGTACATGTCGAGGTGTTGCTACATGGCCGCAGTTCTGTACATGTCGAGGTGTTGCCACATGGCCGGAGTTCTGTACATGTCGAGGTGTTGCTACATGGCCGCAGTTCTGTACATGTCGAGGTGTTGCTACATGGCCACAGTTCTGTACATGTCGAGGTGTTGCTACATGGCCGCAGTTCTGTACATGTCGAGGTGTTGCCACATGGCCGGAGTTTTGTAGAACTTTGTAGCGGCTGTTCTACGACAACAGTAGATTGAATATGTTTGAGATAACCCCGCGACATGAGAGATGGTTCTCCACGTCTTTTTTTAGATTAAAGAAACAATCTCACAGATCGATAATTAATGTGGGTGCGCCATCTTGATTGATTGAATAATAGTAATGACAATACAGTATTATCATGGATACTGGGCAGGGAGGTAATTCGAACAACGTCATGACGTAAGCCCATTATGACGTATCTGAAAAAGTGTACTTTATCGCAGGAGTCTAAAGTTCAATCGGCGCCTTTGTTCTTTTAACGAGGCAATTAGAATTTTTTTATGTAAGCTGATGATTCATTCTGTAAGTGAGTGAGTGAGTGAGTATGGTTTTACGACGCTTTTAGCAATATTCCAGCAATATCACGGCGGGGGACACCAGAAATGGGCTTCACACATTGTACCCATGTCGGGAATCGAACCCGGGTCTTCGGCGTGACGAGCGAACGCCTTAACCACTAGGCTACCCGACCGCCCGATTCATTCTGTAACCATCCGTGTCACAGTTATATACTTGTTATCAACAACATGGACTGGACAATTCGTTACAAAGAATGCAAATAAAAAACGCCAGTGCCAGAGAATAACCATCCCAGATAATCAAAATGATTCCAGTGGACGT